ATTGCTTTGGTACGGCGGCGGATGGCGACGGTCGGCTCCTCAGCGGCTGGGCTGTCTTTTCTGGCGAGGGGCTTTGGTGACTAGGGTTAAGGTTTGGGTGCGGATGAGGTTATTTATACCCATCCGCTTTTAATCTGAGCCGTTCATCGCTTTTAATCTGGACTGTATGATCGCAATTAAATAGGGAATGAATCTGGACCGTTTGTGCGCGATGCAATCTGGGCCATCCGTGCGCATTTTTGATATGGGCCGTCAGTGCGAGCGGGAATAGATCTCAATTGTTCAATCGCGCGCACGCGGATCGCCCACGTGGCTCCCTCCCGCGTCAGCGTCTCTGTCACCTGGCGCATCCTGATTGGCCAGGACTGTTGACCGGACAGCTGACGTGGCATAATTTTTCTAAATTACGTTTTGACCTCCGATTTATGATTTTTCTTTCAAAAATACCCCAGAATCCAAATTTTTACCCTTTTTCTCTAAAATTATTTTCAATTAAATCTCTAAATAATTTTTACTCATTTTTATTATTATTATTATTATTATTTCCATCAAATTAAATTAATTTCTATTAACACTTAATTATATTTATATAGAACACATTAAATTATAATAAAATAATAATAATAATAATAAAATTAAAAAAAAATATTTAGGTGTTACATAAGAGGAATCAGAAAGCTTATTTATTTGACATAGAGAGGAAGTGGTAAAGTTTTTTATTAAATAATTTCACTGGTCAATCTCATGTGGTCACATATACACATTTCATGTTCAATACATGCTCCATTTTTGGTGAAAATATATAATTATGAGGAGTAGTAAATCAGAATTTACATCTAGTTAAATAGAGTAATCCAAATACAAAATTGTTAAAAAAACACAAAAAGTAAAAATAATTAATGGGAGCTAATTAATCCCCAAAAACAAGTCAATTTGCCAAAAAGGAAATATATTTCATGCATATATCAAGAAATGGATAACAGTAATAGGTGCAGCTAGCAAATTGCAGAAGAAATCAATTAAAAATTCATATTTTATAGTCACAGTGTCCGATATATCTGAGGTTTAATTTTCCCCTCCTGCCGAACCTACTAATTCCCTTGAAGGGGGTGACTTTAAGAAACACCCGGTCGCCTTTCTCAAAAGCCAGGTCTCTCCTCCGGGTATTAGCATAACTCTTCTGCCTACTCTGAGCTGTCTGAATGTTCTTCTTGATTTTAACTATCTTGGACGTGGTCTCTTCTACCAAATCTGGGCCAAACAATCTTCTATCGCCCACTTCCTCCCAACAAATCGGTGACCTGCACGGACACCCGTATAGCGCCTCGTATGGGGCCATGCCGATGCTTGCTTGGTAGCTGTTGTTGTAGGCAAACACTATCAGGGGTAGATGGTCGTCCCAATGGCCCCCGGAGTCAAGGACATAAGCTCGGAGCATATTCTCAAGCGTACAAATTGTCCTCTCTGATTGTCCATCAGTTTGGGGGTGGAAGGCAGTACTAAGAGATAGCTTTGTTCCCATAGCTTGCTGGAAACTATTCCAAAACCGAGAAGTGAATCTGGGATCCCTGTCAGATACCACTGTTACTGGGACTCCATGCAGTCTAACTATCTCCCGGATATACATTCTTGCCAACTTGTCCAAAGAATCAGTCATTCTGATGGCCAGGAAGTGGGAAGACTTAGTGAGTCGGTCAACAATTACCCATATAGCATCATGTCCCGATCGTGCCTTGGGTAGTCCCGATACGAAGTCCATGGTGATGTGTTCCCACTTCCACTCTAGAATCGGTAAAGGCTGAAGTAACCCACCTGGGCGTTGATGTTCTGCTTTGACCTGCTGACATACCAAGCACTTAGATACAAAGTCAGCTATATCTCTCTTCATCCCATTCCACCAGAACCGAGGTCGCATAGTTTGGTACATTTTTGTACTTTCTAGATGCATGACAAACCTTGAACTATGGGACTCTGTCATGATGTCTCTTTTTAACTCACTGTCGTATGGGACACACACTCTGTCCTTGAAACGAATCAATCCGTCGGCAGAGATCTGAAATTCTGAGCTCACTCCCTGTTCTGCATCCTTCTTGCGGGTTACTAAGGCGGGGTCGACTGACTGGGCTTCCTTTATTCTTTGGATTAACTCGGGTTGGACTGCTAGGTGGCCCAAACATGTGGCCCTCTTCAGATCTCGCAGTCGAACCTGCTGCGTGGCCCCAATGGACCTGCATTCTGAAACCATCAAATGGGCTAGGGTGCCTGCACTTTTCCTGCTGAGGGCATCGGCTACTACGTTGCCCTTACCTGGATGGTATAGGATGTCACAATCATAGTCCTTGAAGAGTTCCATCCACCTTCTCTGACGCATCTTGAGATCCTTCTGAGTGAAGATGTGCTTCAAACTCTTATGATCGGTGTAGATCTGAAAGGTCTCTCCATACAAATAATGGCGCCAGGTTTTCAAGGTGTGTATGATTGCGGCAAGCTCCAAGTCATGGGTAGGATAGTTCTTGTCATGATTTTTTAGCTGTCTAGACCCATATGCTACCAGACGGGGTATGGAGATGGCCCTGGAATTAAGATTGTTAAGGGGAATGGTTCATGTGTAGCGGGGACTCCTATGGATCCCCATGGATACTAGTAGGCTGGTGAAAATGAGAAACGGTGATAATCAGTTATTGTTAATGAATACAGATTTATGATGTGTTTTATGTTATTGATTTTGCATGAAATTGTGATCTGTATGATGTTATTGTTTTTATAGATTGTTTTCACAGGTTCTCTAAAGGTAAGAAAAGGGTAAATGATTTTATTTTAAATAATTGTATTGGTTTAAAATTTGTGCTCCATTGGTTGTTTTTAGTTTTCTATCAACCTTTGTTTCTGTGACGGTGATATAGTGTGATGTACTTATTGGGCTAGTGTAGCTCATTTCTTATTTAACCATTTCAGATCAAGAAGACTTGGTTCCCGAGCCTGATCCACAAGAAGACGGCGAGTAGATGCTAGATACTTTATAGTTTCCTTTATTTTTCTCATTTCTCGTATTTCTTTTACGTGATATTATTAAGTACTTTTAAGTTATTGTGTAAGGAATATTAACCTTAATCTTTTATTTCGCTTCCACATTCAGATTATTATATGTATTTCATTTTGATTTTCCGGGGTCGTTACATCTTACTTTGAGTTAGAGGCTCCTTCTCTAGGATGAACACAATTCACAGGTTAATTTAAGAGGGGTAAGATGCAAACAACTGCCTATTCTATTTTTCAACCAATTAGATTGGATGGGTACTATTACTGCTTACAGTGTTAATGTTAGACCAATAATATAATGGATACATGGGATTTTGACTAGAATATTGTCACCAAGCCCAACAATCTGCATGGTCCTCTTTACCAAATTTTCGTTACATTTTCTGTATCTATTATATTATTTGTATGATATTGGCAATGGAAGCAGTAATAGCACTCATCCAATATGATTGATTGAAAAAATAAAATTGACAGTCACTTATATTTTACCTCTTCTAAACTAACCTGTGAATTTTGTGTTCATCATGGAGATGGAGCCTCTAACTCAAAGTAAGAGGAAACATAAGTAAGACTTATTTCTTTGAGAAAAGAGGAAGTGGTGAAGTTTTCTTAGTGCAACATTGTTCAACAACTAACTATTTATTTTTTATTATTTTATTAGATTTTATTGCTATTATTTATTTTTTAAAAAGTTAAATAGTAATTAATTTAGTTGATTTAAGTAAATTCATTGATCACACATATAAAAAATTTCAGATTTGTGCATTTACTTGTTTGTTTTTGTCTAATTTTAGTGTTTCTTTATGTTTCAAATCATTTTTCACTTGGTAGCGATTACAACATTAAGTTAAGGAAGCAAAAGTTTAATTAATGTCACAATGATGTTAGCACAAAGTTATAGCGAAATCACATAAATCAAACTTATAGCAAAGTAATATCCACTAAGATGTAAACAACTTTTGGCTTATATATATATTTTTTAACTTGGACGTAAAAGAAAAAATGATAAGAACTAACACTCTTATAACAAATTAATGTACATTAAATTGAAAAGATTTATATGATTTTTGAGAAATTAAGAATAAAAGTAATCTTTTTCTTTGGGTCAAACTTCAAATCTCTAAAAAAGCATCTCTTTTGCATATCTACTTTCAGAAAGAGATTATTTGAGATATATATATATTTTTTTTCTGAAATTCTTTGAGTTTTTAAATATTATTCATTTACTTATTTTTTAATATAATTTATTAAGAAATTAAAGATAAAAAAATATTATCTTTTTTTTTTTGAGTCATACTTGAAATTGAAAAATGTCTTTCTATTTGTAACATTTATATGAAATAGATATTTTTTTTTTATAATTTCTTTATTAAAAATAATTGAGCTTTATAAAATATTTGCCATGTATTTTTTTTAGAGAGAAAAACACATTGATTCTTTGTCAATCAATTTTTGTAAAAAAAAATAAAAATAAAAAATAAATAATTACAAAAATCTCAAGTGGGTTACTTGATTAAAGAAAGTAGACACGAGGTTAGTTATATAGAGAAAACATTCTATTTATATTATTATTATTATTATTTTAGTTATTACTATTTTAAATATTGTTTTATACCATTTAAAAGAAAAAGAGAAAAATGAAAAAAAAAAAAAAGAAAATTAAGAAGAAAAAAGAGAATAGAAAAGTAAGAAAATAAAAATGAAGAAAAACAAAAAGAGAGAAAAAAAAGAGAAAATAGAAAATGAAGATTAAAAAAAAAGAGAGAGAAAAAAGAAGGGAAATTTTCCACTTTTAAGCCATAAATCTAAACAAGAGGCCCATGCCTAGTTTCTATTATATACCAGGCCAGGAAAGTAAGGCCCAACCCGGAACAGGCCCAATATAATATCATAACCCGACCCGTTTCAGCAGAAAGTGGTGCCCGTTCAAATAAGGCCCGTTTCTGTTCGGGGAAGGAGGCTGGCCAGTTGAGGTTTTCTGGTTCTCTAACCGAGGGTATGTGCGGCGCAAGAGACAGGCGCGACGAGGGTGAAGCAGATGATGCGTAATGATGGTTAGCTAGGCAGTGAACAGACGAGACAGAGGAAAGAAAACGGACGATTGAAGAACCCCGGCAATAAGACGACGAAGAAGAGAAGAGAGGAGCAAATTTCTCCTTGAAGCCAGAACGAGGGGACTTGGACAGTGAAAGGATTAATCATTTGAAGTGCTACTTAGGCAATTATCGGTATAAATTACTCTCTGATAACCTGTAACGTTAAATCCATGTTGTGGATGATAATGGGCATGATTTGGTTTGAATCACTATTGAGTAATGTAAACGTTGTTATATTTTGGTTTTTATTTATGCTTCCTGATTAATTCCTCTCGCTAGTTACTGATATAGCTACTAAATTGAGATAATGAAGTCCATTTTGGTCTTGTGTGTTCAATATCATCACTGCCTTGCTGTTACATGGCAATTATTTGATAAAAGATAGAGGCTAAAAGAGAGAGAGGGAATCAGGGATTAGGAAAAAATATCTAAACAGAAAGGGAAAAGGAGATGCTTCTAAGCTCCTTTCTGTTCTTGCAACAATCTTGGTCTCTTCCCTTTTTTAAGAATGTATTTCATGTAGACTGCAATGAACTAAATTGTTGGATGCTGAATAAAATGGATTAAGTTAATATTTGACCACCAAGCTTATGATTGAGGCAGGAGTTACTCTCAGATCCAGCTTGGGTTTTGAATTTTTCACATTTGTTTTATTTAGCTGTTTAATGACTTAATTTTTAGACCTGGCTATTCTTGAACATATTTTCTAAGCCTGTTTATGATTTCAAATCTGTTTAACCTTCTTAAATATTCCTCAAAACCTGGTTTTGGTTCCATTGCAAGTATGTTTGAATCTTCAAATCTGCTTTAGTTCCTTATTTTCTCCCTCAATTTTGGTTTTAGCTCTCCTTAATACGTCTAGGTCTGCTACAGGTTTTTGCTTTGGAACTTCAAATCCATTTTGCGACTTCGAATCTGTTTCCGGCTTGCTACTCTTCTTACTAGGTCATGAATCGTATTGTGATCCCAATTTGTCTTGAAGGTTGAACTAGTCATGGTTTACACATTAGTTTTGTGGGTATGAGAGTTTCAAGTTGATTTGGGTTCATTTTGATATTCAGAACTTCCATTGTCTTTGCAAGTCTATTTTGTCTTATGTGTCTTTTTTAGCATTCCTAAATTGATTTGATATACTTCTTATCTTAAACCTGCTAACTGAACCTTTGATAAAAGATCCACTTGGTATTTATCCTGTTTTTTTTCTCTGTATTGCCTCCTTTCTTACTGATGATCTAATGAAGGTTACTCAGGTTTTTATAGGAAATAGAAGGCATGGTTTTCTTTTAAAAAAATATGTTCTAGAGGTTTTGAGCAAGTCCTGGTGATGTGACTTGAGGATGCAAGATAGCAAGAATGACTTGCATTAATTATAGCATTCTAGTCACATTTGCTTAGTCTTTTTCCTGAGAAGAAAACAGTGGCCAGGTTGACAGATTTTGCTGCCCTTTAAACCATGAATTTACTTATACACTATGTTCGGCACTTCTCTAGGAACTTTGGCATGCTCCATTGGTCATTTTTTAAATTTTTGGGTGACCATTTTGACGGTTAAGGGGTGCATTTCAGCATGTTCTTATGAAAAAAATTCCAGTTCCAAACCCATATGTGTTAATGTTTTCTTTTTGCATGCCTTGAGGGAAAACTTTTGGAGTAATGAAATACATGGTTGTTTGTACCCTTTGCTGTTTAGGTAACTGAACTAAAGAACTTATTTGTTGTCGGGGGCCTAAAATGATTGATTTGATATTTTTTGAGAATCTTAAATTGGAAAAGTGTTTTTTGGAAGCAACAATGTTAGACCTCCATGAAAATACCGTTTCGAATCTATGAGAATTGGGGCTTCAAAGAAAAAGTTGATCTTTTAAAAAGGTTTTACAGTTCATGCTTGGGAACCTTTTGTATGACTTAGTCTTATTCCAACCTGTCTCGTATATGTTGGGTTGTTAGGTTATTTATCATTTTTAGTTCCTTGTCTTTTGTCCTTGGCCCCTAGCTTGAGAATTTGTTAGCCCGGATTAAGTAATCCTAAGCAATTGGCTGAGTGCCTTATCCTACCCATTCAGTACCACTTCTCGAACTTAGGTCCTCTTCAGCAAGAGCAGTGGATGTTTTGGTGTCTAATCTTGTCTTGAATGGATTAGTGGCGACTCCTCTTTTTTTGTTTATGTCTTTGCTGAAGTCTGCCCCCGTGTCACTGTTGTGGCAAGGTGCTAGAAAGAGAAAAAGAAGAGGAATAAGGATGAGCTAGATCTGGCTCTATGACATAGAGAAGCCAAGAAGGAAAAGAAGAGCTTTTGGGAAAGAACAGGTTCTAGGTTTTCTTAGGAGATTAATGTAGAGATCTTGAGTACTTTCAAAGGGGAGGGTTAGAGAGTTAGAGAGACGAAGGGATTGGAACAAGGAGATCTAGAGAAAGGGCTGCTGGAACCCTAAGGAGAACATTATGGGATTTCCTAGTTGGAACCCTTAGGTAAGATTTGTAGGCCTTAAATCCTTGTTTTCTTTTTCTTTGGTTTAATGTTTTTCTCTGTAAGTAGATGTTGGTATTTTGTTTATATCACTGTATTGTGTGCAAATATGCCAATTTATCTTAGCTTTGTTAATGCTGAAGCTTGTTCAAATGAATGAGATGCTTTTTTTTCAAAAAAAATAAAAATACTATCCACTTAGAAGCACCAAGGGAGTGCAAACCCATGTACAAATATAGGTTCATATCAAGTGAAATATAACTAAACTCCCCAAGATCCTCACAGAGTAAAGAGGATGAAATAAAAAAGCTTTGAGTCTGAAACTAATATCTTTAATCCTAACAAAGTTAGCTACAGTGCCCTTAAAAGCTCTTTTATTTCTTTCTTGTCAGGCCATCCAAAAGTAGCAAGGGGAGTTAGACCACCATGCTCTTTTGCTTTACTGGTCCCTTTCCACACCTAAGTCTCCTGCCTCACCGACCAGCCATCGCCCAATTAATACTTGAGAGACTTTAGGCGAGAGTCCAAAGTTTATAGACAAATGGATGCCACAAGAGGACGTGGTTACGTGACTATGCATCCCTTTTGCACAGGAAATAACCATTCACCAGAATCCTACCTCCTCCAAATGAGCTTGTTATGTCAAAATGCATCCTCTCATTATCTCCCAAGCAAAAAAAAAAAAAAAAAAAAAAATGTTCTGGGTGATGCTTTAACTCTCCAAATTTGCTTAGAAGGAAAGTCATTGCATTTATATTCTCTCTTTGCTATGTGGTTACAGAAAGATCTAATTGAAAAAATCCCTCTAGTAGCATTAAGCCTCCAAATAGGGTAATCCCTGGCCCCATTAAGCCTAATTCTGGAGAGGGCGAGAAAGAGGGCCTCATACTCCTTAATTTTTCAATCTTTAAGGTTCTTTGTGATCTCTGTAAAACACTCACCATTCCCCATTGTAACTAGGAAGGATTCTTTAACAGAGTCCTCTTTATGTTGGGCAATAGCATAGATGCGAAGAACTAGGACTTAAGCACACCATTATCCAAACCATTTGTCATG